ATAGTATAATAAAACAATTAATTAGCCTTCTGATAAGATGGAGTCCTCCCCATCATTTCTCCCTGCCACGGGGTTCATCCTGTTTCGATACCGTCCAGCCTGGTCTTGGACACTTCCAGGGATGGGGCATCCCAGATTTCCCTGAGCAATCTATTCCAGTGCCTCTCCAGCAGCTCAGATGCTCCCCAGGAAACTCCAAGTGCCATTCTGTGTCAGTGCATGTCCTTGCACTGCTTCAGTGCATCCCAAAAAAAAGAGCTGGTCGTTCCCAAGCTTTCCAGCAGCCCTTCCCTGCTGGAAGAGTCCCCCCTATCCCTTTCACACACCTCTCCATCCTTCAGTGGTCTGGATCCAGCCGGCTATTGCATAACCCTAATTATGTTATTGCTGTAATTGCGTCTGCCGTCTGCAGCACATGGATTCGTTACAAGCTTTTCATATGCTAAAATGATTATTAATGAGTGCAGTCCCATCCCAGCGACAAACAACAGCCATGACAAAAAGATCTTTTGGAAGGCAATTAGCTCCATGCTAAGCTGCCTAAACCATGGGCTGTGCTGGGAAATTTCGGGCTGGGGAGGGAGCACTGGCAATGTGGCTTTTCTCTTCTCTTTTGATGAGTTAATGAGTTACTGAACGGCAGCAGGCACAGTCATTCTTGTGAAACAGCTCCACTAAGGAGCCTTTCCCTGTCGGTGCCGAGGGAAAGAGCATTTATCCCTGGATAAACAGAGGACAAAATGTATTCCCAGGTCACCGTGATGGATGCCCAGGTCACTGTTGTGTCGCTTTCCTTGGGAAAACAAAACAAAACAAAACAAAACAGAACAAAACAGAACAGAATAAAAAACAAAATGCAACCCAGGGAAAGATGAGGTTGGAAGGAACGAGAATAATTATTTTTTTCAGTAGAAGAGTACCAGCTGTATCCTGGTACATCCCTTCTCCATCCTGCAGTGGCAGTGGAGGGTCTCCTGGGCTCTCTCTCCATTCAAGGCAGGAGGAGGTGAGTTGCTGTTCCCATGATATCTGTGAGGACACATCCCATGGCCTGGTTATCCTCACATCCTGGAGTGCTGGAATGATGGGTTTGCCCCAATTCCTCATGATTTTAATTGCCTATGAAGTCTAATGAAAAAAATTTCCTGTGGTCACATCAGAGGATGGAGAACCTTGAGGTAAGAATGGAGGCTGCTCCAGTGAATTCAGGGAAACTCAGACACATTAGGCTGGATCTTCTGATCTCCATCTGACTATCCTCTGGAAACAGCTGGAGAAGGATCCACTGGAGATGAGCAAAACTGGAGTACAGCAGTAGCAGCAAATCTGCTCAGGATTCTCATTTTTGGGAGCAGATTAAACTGAATTTACTGCTTTGCTTCGCTATTTTCTGTCTCATTCAGAGAGAATAAATCTCAGTGTTGTGTTCCCAACCTTCTGCTGGCTGTGGAAGTGGGTCAAAGCCCTGTCCCTACCTCAGGTGAGACCTGGTGTCCCTCCACAGGTGACAGGACACCTCTCTGCCCCTGGCACTGCCTCCCAGCCCAGCTCTGCTGTGGGAGCCGTCAGCTGCAGGGTTGATGGAAGCTGCACAGGCAGCCCTGCAGATTCCAGCAGTGGGAATGGAAGGGCCTCTGGGGTTTGGTGACAGCTCCTCAGTGGGTTTTGCATTAGGGGTATGCAAATGGCAGAGAGGCTCTAAGTACCTCGGAGGATCTGGGCTGGAATGGAAGGTAAATAAAGACTCAGCAGGGATGTTGTCATCTCCCTCCTAGGATGCTTTAATACACACATTCATCATTTCTTAAGAGAGCACAGTGATGGCTTCATTAGAGACTCTTCTGCATAAATAAGTTACTGGGCCATGGCAGAATTTGGATGGAAGGATATTATGTCTTCTCACTCAACTAGATTGAGGCATTGGTACGTGTTGGCTTCCACTTCTTTTTCTTTTATTTTTGCCACAAAACACCTTGGTTGAACGGGAGATGACTTTTTAGGTGTGTGATGCCAGGGAATTGAGTCTGGAGGAGACCAGGATACTTTGGTGGGTGATGGCCTGTGACCCCAGAACACTGAGATCACATCCTGGCAGTCTGTCATGGCCAGAGCCCTGAAACTGTGATTCCTGAAACTCAGATCTGTGCATCCCATCCTTGGCTCCAGGGAGCATTTCCTGCTGCTTTTCCTTGTTTGGATGAGTCACAGGAGTGTTGTGCTGCTTGGAATGATCTCTGCAGGGCTGGAGAGGGGTGGGGAGCTTTCAAACCCTTGTGAGTCACAGACTCAAGAGTCTGTTTGCTACCAGGTGGAAAGGAAACAGGACAAACTTGCAGAAGGAGTTGATAAGTGTGTCTGTGCTCCAGTTTTTGGGAGCACCCTGTCCTTACACCCACTATCCTGCCACCACTTGGTGATAGCTCAACCAGAGAGGAAAAGGAGAATTTTAACTTCTTGTAAGAGCCAGACTGGCACCTCTCATGTCCTCCACCAACCCCATTTATTTTTTGCTGTGATGAGCCCCCTTCTCATTTCAGCCATCAGGAGGGTGTCTATCCAACATTCATGAGGAGCTGCTCTCTTTTCAGGGGCCATAAATCAATGCATTTCACTGCTTTGCAGCCTGTTTTCTTCACAGGTCTATGAATTGTGCTGGTGGCACATGGATTTTTTTTTTCCAGTGCCAAGGCACACCTTGCTTTTTTGACCCTAAAATTCCTTGCTCTTTGACCCTAAGATTCCTTGTTTTCTCAGCCATTTTATGGATGCCACCAATTCCTGTGTGCAGCTCAGATCTGATCTTCTCCAGCAGGTGATGCCAAGACCTGTTTAAATTTTCCTGTGAGCAGCAAAGGTCTAAGAAATATTTATTCCTCCTGCTCAGCATCTTCTCCTGGGGGTAACTCTGCAGGACAGAGCCTCCTGGGATTTCCAGGTGTTCACTTTACTCACAGACAACTGTCCAGGTCCACCTGGGGACTGAGGGCCAGGCAGAGTGTAAAGAAAATCAAACCCACACCACTTTTCACTGGAGCACTGGCAATGAGGAATATTTAGACCACAGGACTGAGTTAGCCTAAGATTTCTGGCTGGTCCTAAGCCCAGAAGACAAAATGCCAGGACTCCAGGGAGAGAGATGTTTTTGTGCCTGCTGGAAGTTGCAGTAAAATTAATGAGGTTTGCACGAGTTTTTATGGTGAAACAGAGTTTAGCTTTGGAAAATGTCAAGCAAGAAGGACCTCTGCCCCCTGAGCCCCCCTCTGCCAAGGATTACATCAGCATCCCACCACCAAAACCAGGTTATCAACAGAGACTGACTCATTGGGGTAAACCAGGGTGGGATTGAAGGGCACAAAACCAGACTGAGCACAGCTGGAGCCTCCTGCTGTGGAAGGGTTTCCCCCCATGCTCTTGCCCTGCTCTGTCTTGCACAGGCCACTCCAGCAGCTGCTCATCCTGCTCTGTCACGGAGTATTTTCCCACTCACCCACCTCAAGCATGCTCACCACACAGCATTTCCATGTCCAATTCCCCTGCAGTGGCACACAGCCTCCATCTCAGCAGGTGTCTCCACGCTGTTTACAGGACACCTGTCAGCTCTTTTGGCTCCCCGTCCCCTCTGCCTCCTAATTATAAAATTGTGGATTGCTGCAGCTATGGGCTTTTTTTTTTTTTTTTTCTCCTTCTTCTTCTTACTTTTTTTTCCTTGTGCACAAAATGTCAAATTGCAGAAATTAAAAATGTAAATGATGGTGTCTAATTAACCAGTTGACAGCAGAGCACAGCTGCGAGTGACAGTGACTGATTACCTTCTGCAAACCTTGTCCTCCAAGACCTGCCTTACCCAGGGGAGGAAGGACATCAAAAATAGCAACTTCCTTAAAGAGACATCACTCTGCAGATGAAGCCTGCTGGGCAATGGTTCTGGGGGATCCAGATCCTAAAGATGAACCCCCCAGTCGTCCTTAGCTCCAGGAGAATGCTGTTGACTAGGAAAAGCAGATTCTTCTAGGAAAAGCAGATTTTTTCCCAGTCAGACTGGAGTTGAAGGCTGCTGCCACAAATATCAGGCCACCTTAAAATATGGGGCAAAAAGGAGATGCTGAGCAAGAGAGTTGTTGGGATAGACTGGATTGAGTGTGGGTGATGTTAGCAATGGGGGCAGATGTAGTGGTGAGAATGGTGCAAGGAAAAAATACAAATATTTGGGGTTTTTCTGTGTGTGGGAGTGAAATCCTGAGATGTCAGTGGGCAGCAAGGTCTCTCTGGGAAGAGAGGCAGGGCTAAAAAAGCTTAAATGTCTGACAAAGTGATCCAGCTTCAATCCAGCTCCTATTGACTGGGAAAGTTCACAAGATACTTTTTGGGGCTTCATTCTCAGATTGAGGTGAATACAAGACATATGTGGTGTTCAGGATGAGTGCTTAGTCATTTCCACCTTGGCTAAGTCTCCTTTCTTGCTGTAAAAGAAGAGCATGAGCAGGTATTTCACTGAGGAACCAGAAAAGCCCAAGACAAAGCGTGGGGGTTCTTTTCTCCATTTTGTTTGCAGATTTGGGGCTTCATTCTCAGATTGAGGTGAATACAAGACATATGTGGTGCTCAGGATGAGTGCTCAGTCATTTCCACCTTGGCTAAATCATCCTTTCTTGCTGTAAAAGAAGAGCATGAGCAGGTGTTTGACTGAGGAACCAGAAAAGCCCAGCACAAAGCGTGTGTTTTTTTCTCCTTTTTGTTTGCGGATTTGGGGATTCATTCTCAGATTGGAGTGAATAAAAGATATAATAAAACCTGGTGCTCAGGATGAGTTGCTCAGTCATTTCCACCTTGGCTAAATCAGCCTTTCTTGCTGTAAAAGAAGAGCATGAGCAGGTGTTTGACTGAGGAACCAGAAAAACCCAACACTACGCGTGGAGTTTTTTTCTCCTTTTTGCTTGCGGATTTCACTTCTTGATCTCCTGCTCTTCCCCTCAAGAAACCCCTGTGTTTGTGCCCCTCAGGTACTACTCAGACATTGCCAAGATGCCAGCAATCAGTGACCAGGACATGAATGCTTACCTGGCTGAGCAGTCCCGCATGCACATGAACGAGTTCAACACCATGAGCGCGCTCTCCGAGATCTACTCCTACGTGGGCAAGTACAGCGAGGAGGTGAGAGCCTGGGGACACCTCTGGGGGCCATGGGAGAGGAGGTGAGAGCCTGGGGACACCTCTGGGGGCCAGAGGAGAGGAGGTGAGAGCATGGAGGACACTTCTGGGGGCCATGGGACAGCCTACCCATCCCCTGGTGGGTCACTGATACCTGTCTGCATCCTGGCTGGGAGGGTGGAGGATTTAAGGAATGAGAGACAAGGCTTGGGGTTTTGAAAGGGAAGGTCTGGGATTCTGGATCCCTGTTTTGTGTCTCTCTTGTTCAATCAGGCTCAGCTGAAGTTTTTGATGGTCAGATGTTAACTCACTGGAGCCCTACTTGAGCTTCACATCCACAATGGGCAAAATTTGCTTAAGGACTGTGCCCAACATCATTCCAGACACCCTAAAACACCCCAAAATGGTCCAACACAGACTTCAAGGTGTCCAGCATGGTTCTATATATTGAAGGCCATGTGAGACCCCTTAGGGAATCTCAAGTGGCATGGCCAGGTGATGGATAAAGCTCATAAATAGATAAATAACAGATCTCCAAGATAAGAATCCATTTGATTGGTTGCAATCCAGAGGTCTGCATTGAGTCAGATCAAACCCAAACTCCCTGCCTAGTTCCCTCCTGGATGATTGACTTGCCTTGCATGATCTAAGCTAAGCCTGGGACCTGCCTTAGAGAAAGCTCAACCTCCTCTGCTGCTTTAAGATGCTGGACTCAGCCATTTTGGGGAAAGAAACTGAAATCCCAATCACTTCTTCCTCTCTCCTTTTCCAGATTCTCGGAGCCCTCGATCAAGACGACCAGGCTGGGAAACAGAAACTTGCCTACAAACTTGAACAAGTTATAACCCTCATGAGCATAGACAGCTGAGAACTGTCCTGCCAGGGACACCCTGGGAAGGATAAACCAAGTCGTGCCTCACTCAAGATCATCATCTTTACCAAGTGCAAGTTTTGATGGGCTGTAAGCAGAGTCACCCGAACAGCGCTCCTCTCTCTCTCTCTCTCCTCCCCCTCTCTCTTTCTCTCTTTTCCTTCTCTTTCCAAATCTATGGACAAAGCAACAGAGCCCCAGGGGTTAAAAGAAAAGACTGCAGAGGAATCTTGGCTCTGGGGCCATGAAGACATTTGGGTGGAGCTCTCCTTTTCACAGCTTCCCCTCTGCCTTTTGCCCTAGAGAGAAACTATTGAACACACACGAAAACCCCACCAACCCTCGCCCAGCATCGCATCCTCGCTCTGCAGAGGTGAAACTGGGAGGTAACTTCTGTCATGCTGCTTTAACTGCCCTCTGAGGGCTGTAGCCTCTGGAGAGGACATGGAAATGAACTCAGTATTACTCAAGTGTCCCCAAGGGGAAGGCAGCGTGCCTGCAGGGCAGAGCCAATCCAGCTCCTCTCCTGCAGAGCCATTGCAATTCTATCCCTCGATAGCGACCCTCTGGGAGAGGAGGCTCCCCAAAAAATGCCACAGCTTTGTCCAGAGCAGGGCCACCATGGCTTATCCTGCCTGGGCAAACAGCTGCTCTCCTGGGGCAGGGAAAGGGTCAAGAGGGGACGAGGAGACCGACGCTGCCCTGCCCATGTGTTTCATATGGTTCTTCTTATTTTCCCAAGAGCCGCGTGTCCCCCTCCGTCTTTCCCGTCGTGTCCTGTTGGTCGTAGCACTGCAGCAAAACGCTCTCTCTGCTGGGTGCCATCCTGTCTGTGGTGGTGGTCCTGCTCCTCCTGCCCGTGGAGAGCACAGCATCGTGCCCCCCTCGTTCCCACCTTGGCTTGAAAAGCAGGAGCCACAGGCCTCGGGTTGTTCCAGGCAAGGAGCTCAGCCTCAAAAGAAGAACCAGAAGGATTTTTGTTTTGTTTTGTTTTTTAAGCTGTTCTTTCCATTTTGTTTCCTCCACTGGAACACAGCTGTTGTTTTCCCACAGTGGAATATCAGAGGGTTACTGAAATGCTTGCTGTGAAGTGAGGTGGTGCACGGGGCTGATGCTGAAGCCTTCCTTCCAAGCTGCTCCTAAGAGGAAATGTCACCACACGCTTTGGAAGGAAATCTTGGAGGAAATCCAAATGAAACACTGCAAAAAATTCTTCTACCTAGATCCCCCAGCCGAACTGCCTGTCTCCTGGAGGTCTCTGAACTGCTGTGAGCCCATCTGCCTTTTGGTGCCAACTCCTGGCCTTTCCTCTCCATTTCTGGAACCAACAGGCCTTGCTGAAGGCACAGTTGCTGCCTAGGAAGGATTTTATCTCTCTTTGCACTTCTTATCCCTTCAGGGATCGCTGTCACCATGGGACAATTGTGGGGGATCACCCTGTCCCTGTGCCATCCTCTGCTCAGCTTCTGCAGAACATCTCGACTTGTTTCATGGCCAACCAAAGGGGAGTGAGCTCCTGCATCTCTTTTTCCTTCAGCTGTTCCATTCACACGGCTGCCAGCCCAGGTAACACCATCACTAGAGACCCTCGGGGTGTGGAGAACCTTCCTTGTTCACCAGGGAGGCGAGAGCTGGGTCAGCATTCATCTCCCCAGCCATGAGCAGAGCTCCCTGGCAGATGGAGGAGCGGCTGGAGGAAGCCCACGTCCACCTCACCCCATCCTTGGAGCAACAGCCTGGATCTGCTTTGCACCTGGAGGGAGGAAGGGGTGCAGGGTGTATAAATTGATTACAGAGCGAGTTTTTTTGGGTTCATTCCTGTCTCTTGCTGTCAAACCAGAACCTCTTGGGAGTGACAGATCCCAAGTGTGTGTGAGGGATGATGTGGTGCAAGCAGGAGTCAGGCAGCGGGAGGGTTTCCTTCAGCCAAGCAGATACACACGTAGGCAAGTCCAAAACCACTCAGTCCAACACTGAACGTGTCTGTGGGGAGAAAAATCACCAGATTCACGTTGAAACAGCAAACTTAGGGACACGTCTTGGTTTTAAACCCCCAGACATTTCTCTCTTGATTGCAATTCCAATTATTTTGTGCGTGTGCGTGTGTATCTGTGTGCGCGTGTGCGTTCCTTCCTCTTTTTTTTTTTGGTTCTGCTTGCTTTCTGTGGGATTGCTGAGCTGATGGACTCATCATGCACCTTATGGACATCTCAGCAGTTTTAAGAGGCCTGCGCATTGGGGATGGTTTGGGTTTGGTTGGTTCTGCCATGGTTTTGTTGATCCATTTTAGTAACGTCGGCGCATGTTCCAGATCCATTGATTAATGGCTGTGAAAGTGGGAAGTCCCCACCAGAGCCAGTGGTAAGAAAATGACAACAAACAACACACAAACACAGTATTTTTTATAAGTACGTAAATTTAAGAAAAAGAAAAAGAAAAAAAAAAAAGGGGAAAAATTAAAAAAAAAAAAAAGGAAGAAACCAAAGGTTTTGACAAACAAAGTGCCACAACAGATAAATATGGACCCTATTGTCATGCCTTGTACTCACAGCTGGATGGTAGGAGTCTAAGGACAAAGAGCTGGCTTGGAGGGAAGTGGTTATGAGTGATGGGCGATCCTGCCTGGACATGCGCACATGAGAGGAAGAAGAAGCTGTTTAACAGAAAAACAAAAAAAAAAAGTATCAAAATGAACTGGTGTGATCCTGTACTGTTACTGAAGTCAGAGGAACACCACAGGGGAAATCTGAGACTCACCCTGTTTCTTTTCGATGTTTTCAGGGCTGTGTTTTTGGTTTGTTATGGTTGTTTTCCATGGTTGTTATTTTATTTCTTCTTGCTGGTACGGAGTTTTTTCATCTGTATATTATATATATATATTTTTTGAGGAGAAACTTGAACACCTCAGAGACACTGAGAATGAAACACTTAGGGGAAATGGGAAGCACCAGGAGATTGGTGTCTTAACCCTTTCCAAACTTCCCATTTAGGCATTTCTGCTTTCCCTCCACCCTCTTCTTTCCCCCATGCCCAGGATTTGAAAGAAAATCTGCGTTTTGCTTCTCTTTCATCTCCTCTTTATTTCTTTGTCTTTCTGTTTCTCTTTAGTTTGGTGTTTGAGCTGGATTTGCTTTTTTGCTTGGAAAATGTGCCAGAATTGTGATGTAAATGCGTGGGCTTCCTCCCCTGTCCCCTTCAGTGCCCTTCCCATTTCCAACCAGTGTCCCAGAATCCCCCAGTCTAAGAGAAGTCTTGGCATCTTTCTTCCCAGCCTCACCTGTTGAGCTAACTATTTTTTAAGTGCATGTAAAATACAACTTAAAACAAAGACACAAGCAGAAGAATGAGCCCTACTACAACACGGATGCTTTATTTTCCTTTGATTTCTGTTCCCCCCCACCTCCCTTTCAACACTTGACCAAAAATTCCTGATAAATAAGTAGTGTCCCACACTGGTTTTCAAGCCCCATGGAGATAACTGGAGCCAAAGTTCCTAGAAGCCCATGGAGAGGCTCCTAATATCCAGAATATTCCAGATGATAGGCTGATCTTTACGGGCATTTCTCAAACACTGCAATCAAATAATTAATGCTGGCACCTGCAGCACCATCAGAAACAGGGGATAGGGAACTCTTGAAAACTCTTTGAGGTTCTATGGAGAGAGTCAAGATTATTTCTTCACTGCAGGGTTTACAGCACAGAAGAATCGAGGAGAAATTCAGCCACCTTCCTCTCCTAGCACAGAATCATAGAATGATTTGGGTTGGAGAAGACCTCTAAGATCACAGAAGTCTGAATGTTAAAACATGCCCCAGTCCTTCTCTTCCCACTCTTCATCCTGTCCTGAACATATCCAAAGGTTTGGTCCCACCCCACCACACATCAGCCTTGCTCCATTAGGTAAGAGGGCTATGCCAATTTTCATCCCTGTAGTGGTACCACTGCAGTTGTGTTATCTTGCGTCTTTGACACTGAAGACCATAAATTGATTGGGTCATGAAGGAGATTTACCAGCAGAGTTTTGCTTGGTAATTGCTTAGATTGAAAAGTGTTTCCCAATCTTCTGCATTCACCCACAAGAAAATGTTTGCCATGAAGGGAATGAGACCAAGCAAATCAGATAATTGTAATTATTTTTAATAGTGCTGTTGAAAACCAATAGATCAAATTTGAAGAATCCAGTCAGTGATCAGCCTTACTGTTGAGTCCCCTTTGAATTTCCTGGAGTCTGGGATTCCTGTGAGGTAAAAACTCAAGCACACAACAGCCAATATCAGAAGGCCAATTGTTCAGAACTAAAAAAACCATGAAATGTAGATCTGTCCTTCTCCAAGGTTTTAACAAAGTGCTTTGGGAAGAGACACTGCAATTTGGGGACTCTTCCAAAAAAGGAGAAATGAAGATATAAGTAGTGAGAGTTATCCTTCAGGGCAGGTGGAGGCTTTGGGATGTTCTAACTCTTGCCATCCCAACTTGGTGTGCTGTGGAGCAGGAAATTGGTCAAACACATGAACCTCAACATCATGGTGTGAACCTCAACCTCCTGCCCATTCCCAGCCTGAATTTTCCTGCTTTGCACCTGATGCAGCTCCCATTTCAGGGTAGTGCTTGGTCCATTAAATCCTGCAGTTTTCCTTCACCTCTGTGACTGTGCAATGCCCCTTTCCCCCAAAAAAATCTTGCTGTCTTACTGGGAATAGCTACTTTGTGGAGAATGCTTTGAAAATAGAGCTTGTCAACTGTGTTTTATTTGGGATGGCCCAATTCTCTACACTTGGCGAAGCAGCCAAGGGGACACAGGCTTACAGCAAAAAAAGAAAAGAATTTGTAGAAAGATGTCAAAAAAAAAGTTAGAAATAAAACCAAACAGGATTTATACTTGGAAAAATAAATAAACCCACCAAAAACCCCACAGAAGTTACAAAGCTGCTCAGTCTAATCAACCTGTCACATGTTTGATTTCTGTTGTTGTCGCTGTTTGTTCATTGTTTGGTTGGTTTGGTTTGGTTTTTTGTTGTGTTGTTTTGGTTTGTTTTTCTTTTTTTAATCTTCTGTTCTAAAAATGGAGAGTTTACCTCAAGAAATTCTTTCTGCTTGGAAACAGATCACCTCAAAGATGCTCGCAGCAGAGAGCAGTGTGCAGGGAAGCTCAGTAAAGCAAACTTGGGTGTGGAAAACAGAGGGAAAACCAGGACATTCAGGCTCTTCTCAGCATTCCCTTCTTTTACTGGTGTGGTCTGGCATTCCCCAGTGGAGAAGCTGCTGTTCACTTTCACACAGACTGAGGCACAAGAGCCAGTTGGAGAAATCAAGGCACATGTCCAAGCTTGAAGTCCTTTCTGAAGTATCTTAAGAGAAACTTGGTGTTATTTAAACTTTCTATGCTGCTCTTTCTCCATTCCCTGGAGAAATTCCGCTTTCCAGCCCAGGCTGGGGTAAGGAAGCAGAGAGATTAGGTGCTAGCTAAATGCTCCCAGTGTTTTCCCCAAGGATTAGAGAGGCAACTGGATTATTTAAGGTCACAAGAGAGGCCCTTCCTTGTGTCTGCCCCTGTGTCTTGGACATACACGTGAGCCCAGAAGTCTCATTCTCTGTTTTGCTAAAGCTTCCAACTCAAA